TAGCGAGTCGCGATTCGCTATCCGTTTTTGGTATTTCGCTACTCATTTTGCTATACAGTAATATAAAAAAAATCACTATTCAACCTGAGAAGATTTCATATGTGAAAAAGTAAAACAAATAACATTGTAAACGTTTGTTTTCAAACAATTCTTCGTGTTTTTTGAGGCGAAACATTCTCTTATTTGCGCTGATATTTCTGAGTAGACAATAGAATTCTGTTGCTTTTCCTATTGAAATTTAAAGTTCGCAAATTTTGTATATATTTGCATTACGTGCGGGAAAAATAACCATTTTTGAGCCGAAAGTGGTTATTTTTACCGCGCGTAATACAAATATATATACCGGAAAAATTTGCGAACTTCACAGGGCTATATTTTCTTCATTTTACACCATTTAGCAACCAATTTTTGCAGTTTTACTCATTCTAAGACGCTCTTTCTAGCTGTGGTGTTGGTTTTCGTTCTTCTTGCCTGGATCAAAATTTAGTGTATAGCTGGAATCACCCTTTAACTCTTTCAGATATTGCACAAATTTTTACGGGTGATAATTGGAAATTGGAATTATTTAATCCTTTTCTACTGTATATGAACACAGTAATCACTTAGTAGAAATTCGCTATTCACTTTTTATTGCATTAGTCAATGGGTAGAAATTCGCTATTCACTTTTAAATATTTAATTCGAACCCTGCCACAGTTATTTTAATACAGGGTTTGGAGACTCGATGAACTACAATATAACTCATTAACTATGTTATTGTCCAACTTTATGCAAGAATTTAGTCCTATTTTGTCACATGTGTATTGTATTTTCGCTCAAATAACCAATTATAACAAGTTTGTGGTTATTTGAGTTATCCATCCGTAACTTGAATAAATGCTCAATTTAAACATTGCTATTGGTTGTGCGGGAAAAAATACAATACACATGTGACGAGATAGGCCAAATTCTTGCATAAACCGAAACCAACATAGTTAATGAGTTATATTGTACTTTCCTCGAGTCTCCAAACCATGTACTCTATTAACTGTGGTAAGACTAATTACATGTGATCCAAATAATTATCGCATGAATTGCAACTGTTGCATTATGACGCTTCTAGGCAGGTTGATTGACGTTGCGAGGGTGCGGTTTATATGTTGTTTTTAAAATTCAACAGTTTACGAACAAGGAACAGCAGTGTCGAGCAAAACCAGAAGAAGTATTGACAAAACAATTCCCAGATGTAGACAGAAAGAGACATGACTAAAACCACCGCAAATTATGTAAGCCAGAAGATGTTTTTCTCACAATACATATAAACCGTACCCTCAATTAACCTGCTTAGAAACGTCATGATGCACGCATGGGATAATTATTCGCATTACACAGTCTTCCTGAATCTGCAGTATTGCAATTTGGCTGTTTGCAGCAGCTGGAAATGGTTCAGCTAGATAATATGTACTTTCAACAAATTCAATGTTGCCATCATTTGTAAGCAACAATAATTCTTCAAAATTGTCACATTTCTTGTCATATTGACATTCCAGCTAGAGCTTGGTAAAAACACAGCAACCCTGGCTCTGGCTAACCAAAAAACACCAACAGAACTCCAGTGCACAGCACTAGTTTATTCAAGATCATATACCGTCGCTTGCAACTAAGGCCCCGTTTACATGAGACCGGGATGAAGTCAAACCGGAATGAAAATTGAAATTGTCAACATGTTTACATGAGACCGGTACGAAAATCACAAAATTTTCAATTTATTTCCCTTGCCAGGCAATTTTCTTTTTCAGATGGCTTTTATTAGCATGTGTTGTTCCAATGTCAAGGTTACAGCCGAGACCGGTCTGAAATGTATTTGTGTTTACATTCATCCCGGTCTGAATTCATGCCGGTCTGAAGTCAGTAGGTTCGGTTCAGCAGGCGGAATGACTTGAGACCGGTCTGAGTTATTTTCGTCCCGGTCTCATGTAAACATCTATTATAGATAATACTATGACCGAAACGAAATGGTCCCGGTTTGGCTTCGTTCCGGTCTCATGTAAACGGGGCCTAAGTATGAACAGGTCGAGCACTCTTAAAAACATTGCCTATTTGTATGAAAAAGTTCAATGTTTTTACCGAGAAAGTTCATTGTTTGTCAGGAGCACTTGCCAGGTTTTAATCTGATCAGCCAATCATGTTCAACCAGCTCCAAGTTGATTGGCTGAGCGAATTGAAACCGTCAAATGATCATCACAAACATTGAAGTTTCTCGGTAAAAACATTGAAGTTTATCATGAGAATAAACAATGTTTTACCTGTGACCGTTCATCCTTAGTTGCAAGTGACAGTAACAGTACCTTCACTTTTGATTGCTTTCTTGATACATTTGTTGAGGTCTGATGGCATCCTGGGCGATTTGCTGGATCCAGGCTTTAGAACAGAAGGATCTTTATATGACGAGTTCCCTTTAAAATTCCCACGAATGATACGACCAGCTTTATAACACAAATATCTAACTGTTCTGCAACGGTTGCTGTATCAACACCATATGTTATCTTGAGTATGTGCGTTATACGTTCCTTGTTGGGGCGTTGATTCTGATGACGGACTTTGGCAATTGCAGCAAGGATCCAGTCAGCATACTTGGGATCTGGTTCGCTCGGTTCTTCAGCTTTCTTTGGCCTTGGCATATATTCTATGCAGTATCCTTAATAAGAGTTTAAGTTGAACAAAACAGCATAATTTAAATGAGAAACAATCATTCTTAAATAGTGTAAACACAAGACCACAATTATCCACATGAACTGGTTGGAATCACAAATCTATAATTGGCACGTGATTCTATATTAAAATCAAAATAACATAAAAGAAACTAACAATTTATAAATAAAAAATTGACCATTTTCAAAACACCATTTTCCATTATTCGCACGATTCTATCATTCTAGCCAATAAACCAGTATAAATAACTACAATATGTAGATTGCAATACCTGGTCTTCCAATCAGCTTTAAAATATCATAAAGAAGGCACAATCTCTCTCCAAAAACAAGAAATAAATTTAATATTTTAAATAAAATGTTCAAATTGAAATCGTTTCATGACACGAGCCCACAGACATAGATTATCGCATACCTGAGGTTACTTCATGTTAATAGAGTAGTGGTTTCAGATACGGGCAATTTAGCCTGCAGGAAACGCCTGCCATGCAGGCTTGGAGGATGGCCAATCCAGTTATATATAGAGCTCATTGGAAGTCCGAAGCCTTCCGAAACAATCCGAAACGTAAACTAAAAGTTTCGAAACTCTCCGAACGTGAGCCGAACTTTGTGTGAAATTGTCTTCCCACTGATCTCTATTCGAAACTGAAGCGACGAGGGACGAGGCAGAGTGCTGACCTAGCCAATCAGAAGCCGACATCTATGACATGTGGCCACGATTCAAGCGTCATCACGGTCATCACTAGCAGTAGCCAATCAGAAGTCGATATTTCATCTCCCGCCCAAAGTTGTGTGACGTAGCGCTGCTGGGGGTTCTTTTGGCAGAACTTGGAAAGGGTCGTCGAAGAAGGGTCGTTTCTATCGAGCTCTTCCAAAAAATAAACTAAAAATGAAAAAAAATGCACTTAGATGCCAAAATATTTCGTAACGAACTGTTGCTTTAATACGGAAGGTATGCATTCACGTTTCGTAGCTTTTCTTTTGGATCTTTTGGCTTATTTTTGAATATTTTTTCTATTGCTCTTTCTTAGGTACAGAGGTATAGAAAGCTTGGGGAATGGTTCACAAAATGTACGGAAAGCTTGTAGAATGGTTCAAAAGTGGTTCAAAGGTAAAATTTTGGAAAAGTTTCGACTTTCTTGCTTGCGAAAAGCGCGCGCGAAAATGTGTTTCCGTGCTAAAATGTTTTTTTCTTTGCCTTTTTTGTAGAATTAAGAAGGACTACATCGTTTAAACCAGCAGAGGTAAGAGTTCAATGAGTTTTTCAGGGTTTTTTACTCAATTTTTGTTTCGGAATCCCGTTCGAAATTTGCTAACTTCAGGCTAGAAAGTTTATAGTTCTTTATAGTCCTTTATAGTTTCTTTTGTGATACGAAAAAGGTTTGGAAATGATTTAAAAGCAATTCAGTTGAAACTTTTCGCCGTTTAAGTAAGAAATTAGCGGTGATTAGAATTGCAATTATCTCGAGTTAATTTAGGGGTTTTTTTCATTTAGAACAAAGCAATTCGCATCAACTCGAAGCCGTTCCGGTGTTCCAGTCGACCGAGGCGACAAAAAGGTAGGCTTTTAATCATTTTTATGTGTTTTCATTGCATGTTTTCGGTTCAATTTTGACTTCAAAACTTTCATGAAACCATTTGAAGTCTAGAGTCGCGGCGTCTGTGGTCTAGCGCTAGCTCGGTCTACTTTCGGCATTTTTGTGGCAATATTTGTTCGTTTACCTCGCTGTCTTCAAAAAAAAGTTAAAAACAAAAAGTTTTGAAAATTTTTTAGTGAATTTCGAGTGAGAAAGCGGAGAAAAACTTGTCTGACGTCACTTGTTTACGAGTTTGGTAATTTTTTTTGCAACTTTTTTGAAGCACTCAATGGATTCCGAAAGCCAGTTGGCGTCACTCGTCACACCCATGGGAATTAAATGGCGTAAACAACAAGAATTGTCACAAAAACCGGTGCGCTTTTCGGGGTTTTGCAAGAACGAGATACTTTCAAAGTTTTTTTTTCAAGCTAAAGAGTGTTTGGCCTTTTTTTTAGTAAAATTTCTATCACTTTCCATGAATTTTTTTCCGAACTCAAGCAAATTTTTTTTGGCCTACACCCAGACTTGCTTTGGCTTTTCGTTCCGACTGTCAAAAGCGACAAAATTAAAAACTTTTATAGAAACTCGTTGCTGCAACAAATGCTTTGAATTCAATTGATATTTGCATAGGCATAAAAGATATGGACAGGGTGTCCCCCCCCCCAAGGCCCAACCCCTATAGGGAAGGGTGTTACCCTACCCTACAAATAAAAATCTTTTTCAATTGCAATCTTGTATCACTTGCATTGTCCCCTGACCATCTTATATGCCTATGCAACTGGTAGCGAAATTTCATTCGGACTTATGGATATCAGAGCTCAAATTGGAAAGGAACACACAAACTGGTACAGTTTGACAGAAAGGGAATTTTGATTTGGAACTTTTTGAATCCTGTAAATTTTTGAAAGGATAATTTGAAGGAAAATTCACCTATAGAAATTAAACCTTGCAATTAATATTTCAAAAGAAGAAAAAATGTACTAATTAACTTGCACATTCAGTTTGAGTTGAGCCATCTAATTTGGACACTGATATTATCCATTGTATAAAAATTAGAAACGAAGGCAGTCTGTTGATTTTACTACAATCCTATGCAAACAATTAAGTGTTGCACTTTGGAAACTCCCCACTCGCCCTTTTTGTTATATGGCAATTCAGCAACAATTGTTTCGGAAGCGAGTCTCCACCAATATGCGATACTGTGTTCGTATAAACAAATTGTAGTGAAATCATCATGTTGCCATGGCGATGTCCTGTTATGGATTTTGTCATCTGGATATGATAAAGTACAAGCAATTCTCAAGCTATTAATTGCTGCAGCCTGAAATCTAGCCCACATGTCGGGCGGTCCTAAAATCAGGCAAGGCAGGGAAAACACAGCCAGCCATGCAGGCTAAATTAATGTTCACCATTGAACTCAATCTCGTACCCAGAGCCAATGCCATCCTAGCCCGCGCACAGGCATTGCTCTGGGTAAGAGATTGCATTGAACTAAGGATGTTCACCAAAATTAACTATGCCTCAAAGGAGAACATTAATAGTCCAGCCTGGTCAGTAAATATCATGAGAATAGTTTAGTACTTTTTCAAACATCCTCAAGTCATGGCGGTTGAATATGGCGGCAAACTTGTGGATACAACAAGCTCTATATGGAACTGGAATAATAGTTTGACACTCGGAAATATAAAAGCGGACCTTTGCAATACATTTTTCAGGGTTTTTTTATTGTCATACCAAAAAGTTTGCTGTCACTTATCCTTATTGCATCACAGGCAGCCATACTATACCATACCATACTATACCAATACCATACTTTTAATAATACCATGCCATATCATACCACCCCAAATAATACCACACCATATAATACCACACCATATAATACCACGCAATATAATACCACCCCATATAACACCACCCCATATCATACCACCCCATATCGTACCACTCCATATAATACCACGCCATATAATACCACGCCATATAATACCACGCCATATAATACCACGCCATATAATACCACGCCATATAATACCACCCCATATCATACCACCCCATATCATACCACCCCATATAATACCACCCCATATAATACCACCCCATATAATACCACCCCATATAATACCACCCCATATACCACACCATATAATACCACACCATATAATACCACACCATATAATACCACGCCATATAATACCACGCCATATAATACCACGCCATATAATACCACCCCATATCATACCACCCCATATCATACCACCCCATATCATACCACCCCATATCATACCACCCCATATAATACCACCCCATATAATACCTCCCCATATCATACCACCCCATATAATACCACCCCATATAATACCACCCCATATCAATATTACCACCCCATATCATACCACGCCATATAATACCACGCCATATAATACCACGCCATATAATACCACCCCATACAACACCACCCCATATAACACCACACCATATAACACCACCCCATATCATACCACCCCATATCATACCACCCCATATCATACCGCCCCATACAATACCACCACATATAATACCACCCCATATCATACCTCCCCATATCATACCACCCGATATAATACCACCCAATATAATACCACCCGATATCATACCACGCCATATAGTACCACGCCATATAATACCACGCCAATTTATAATACCACGCCATATATTACCACGCCATATAATACTACGCCATATAATACCACGCCATGTAATACCACGCCATATAATACCACCCCATATCATATCACCCCATATCATATCACCCCATATCATACCACCCCATATCATACCACCCCATTTCATACCACCCCATATCATACCACGCCATATCATACCACGCCATATCATACCACGCCATATAACACCACGCCATATAACACCATGCCATATAACACCAACCATATAACACCACGCCATATAACACCACGCCATATAATACCACGCCAGATAATACCACGCCATATCATACCACCCCATATAATACCACCCCATATAATACCACCCCATGTAATACCACCCCATATAATACCATCCAATATAATACCACCCCATATAATACCACCCCAATATCATACCACCCCATACCATATCACCTCATATCATACCACCCCATATCATACCACCCCATATCATACCACCCCATATCATACCACCCCATATCATACCACCCCATATCATACCACCCCCATATCATACCACCCCATATAATACCACCCCATATAATACCACCCCATACAATACCACCCCATATAATACCACCCCATATAATATCACCCCATATCATACCACCCCATATAAAACCACCCCATATAACACCACCCCATATAATACCACCCCATATAATACCACCCCATATAATACCACGCCATATAATACCACGCCATATAATACCACGCCATATAATACCACGCCATATAACACCACCCCATACAACACCACCCCATATAACACCACACCATATAACAACACCCCATATCATACCACCCCATATAGCACCCCATATAATACCACCCCATATAATACCACCCCATATCATACCACGCCATACCATACCATGCCATATAATACCACGCCATATAATACCACCACATATAATATCACCCCATATCATACCACCCCATATATATAATACCACCCCATATAATACCACGCCATATAATACCACGCCAGATAATACCACGCCATATAATACCACGCCTTATTTTTCACCCTGCTCGGTTTCCTTTGTTCTTGTCGAGGAATATATTCAATTTCTCCTCTAATCAATTTCCGTTTAATAATCCCCTCTAATATTCACCTGCAATTAATAATCCCTCTAATATTCACCTGCAATGTCTTTGCAGCACAAAAAATGAGAAAAAACAACATCGCAAAAGCAATATGGCATTGAGAATTATTTCTTTTCTGACTCATTAACGCGACCTCGCAGTGTGAAAAATAAGTACGTTATTTTGA